ACATACACACAGAAAGAGAATCATATCTGTTCTTTTATGTCATAGTGCATTTTAGTTTTATATTAGCTTAGTTTTGTTGTTTGCTTTGTAAATATTACTTTGTTGAAGAACAATGACTATTATGAGTTTTTGCATGAAATTCTTGTAAAAGTTTTATTCTTTAAAAACTTTGACCTTTGTTTTAGGTCCACAGAACCTGAACTTTACTTATTAAGCATCAAAATGATGTTACTTATTCATATTTGTTTTTGCCCAATATTGTTCAACAAGTTTGGATAAAATTCAAATTAATTGTATTTATTTCCAGCTGAAATATTTTGAGCCTGTTTGGGGAAAGAAGTGAGTACAATTTATTGAGTTATACATTGACAGACGCATTTGTGTTTGATTTGGCTAATCATGATAAACATTGTAAGGACTTGGCTAACTTTTAGTTAAACATGATTTATAACAGATGAATGTTGATCACATGGTTTCAGCTGATAACCCAGTTCAATATTAGATGTCTTTGTTGATAGAATAGTAAGAAAATTGTCTAAACAATGAAATACATCTTGTAGTTTTAATTACTTCAGAATTTTCAGTAGTTTTCTGTGAAAACCAACATAAACCAAACTAGCTTTATCCCAGTTACGAAAAGCAACAGCATATGATATTTTATTTTCAACCAAATATATTTTATTGTAAATAGATCTTGTAGTTTTAATGATTTACTAAGCCTAACCAGCTTAATATGAATTATGTGAATTATTACAGTTTGTTTTTAATCAGATTTTTTTAAAATAGAAGTTATTTAAAAAATCTGGAAATGTATTTGAATACCAGGAAGACTAAATATTCACAGGTGTTGTGTTAATGATTTTACTATTATAATTTTGTTTTAATTAGCTTTGATTTACATATTAAAAACTGAAATCAAAAGATACTCTATATTCAAAGCTATAAATAATGAAAAAAAAAAAAGTTGGAATGTGACATCTAAACAAGTTGAGTTCTCATTGCAATTTAGCATTCAGTCATCAAGTAATACCATTTGTGGTAAAATAGTAACTTTTTACTTTGGTGAATTGTCTTTGTATATATGTAAATATACTTATATATATATAAATCTTATTATAATGGTTTTTGATTCTTCCTATTTGTGGGCCCCCCTCTAGCTTTGTTCCCTGCCCCTGTTTGGACCTATATAAAATTCCTAAACTTATGCTTACTGCAGGGATTTTTCCAAATGGAAATTCTCCTGATCTCACTTTCCAAAAGCTGGATAAAACCATGCTGTTTTTCTTTCCAACAGAAATGAGTTCTTATTTCTGGTTATTTTGTTCTTTCGGCATTTGTGCTTTCTAAACAAACCCAAATAAGAGTTCAACTTTTAAGATGAATTATTCCATGCTAGAAGTTCTTGATACTGTCTTGTATATTCCATGTTACTTCTTAGAAGTACTGCTGACATCAGTGATGAAGAAAGAACATCTTCATTTTTTGTGGATAATTTGTCATTGAATTCATCTCTCATCACACACAACAGATGCCCTTTAACCATTAAAATCGAACCAATAATTCAAAGGAACCATTTTAAGCCTGCCATTGTGAGACAAACATGTCCTGCAGTAACATTTTCCAATGCACTAACAAGTCCTCTTCAGGTGAGAGACAAAAATTGTTAAAGTAATTCAAAATAAAATATTTGTATTTAAAGTTTCTAAAGTAAACTATTTTCTGAAACATTTGGCAATGCTCACAGAAAGTTAATGTGATCATATGGCAAAAATATAAATAAGTTAACATAAAAAAAAAACTAGCACTACTACTGATAAGATATAAAACTTAATCTCATTGCAAAGTTTAGATAAATGAAACTTGAACAGTTGTGCTGGTATTTTCAGGGCCTTTGCATTACTAAACTTAGAACACCCAACAGTGTAGAATACATTTTCTTTTCTTCTTCATAGTTGAGTCTGAAAAAATGTTCTGAATAAACAGGATGAAAAGGTTAGAAAATATATTGAACCTTGTTAGTACTGAGGGGTCCCTGAAATTAACTTACAATAAAAACAACCATCTTGAGAGTCACCAAACATTGTTTCTTTATTAAAAAAAGATGTAAAGCCTGTTTTTTTTTTTGTAGATCTCAAGATACAGAATCATTACGTGGAAATCTTTTTTTTAAAGGGAAAGAATTATAAATAATATGATGAATAGCATGTGTATTTACTGTGAAATTTGAACAAAACTTTAATAGATTTAATTGTAATTCATTTATAGAAGATAATAATAAGAGTGAATACTAAAGAAAAATATTGTAACATGAGCAGAAAATATAGAAAGATAGATTTTATAGCTAAATTGAACTCTGACCAAATAAGCATCATAGCCAATATTGTAGTTTAGGAGCTAAATATGGTTAATAAATCACTTTTTATTGACAGTATATTTGTTTACAGGCTGTGGACATGAGTACCCTCAGAGTGATGGAAGTTAGGATCTGATTGATTCAACTTTTCTGAAAGAGACAGTTATCAAAAAAGAAAAGAAAAAGAAGTTGTAACTAAGTATGGTATCCTGGCATTGACAGAGTCTGCATGTAAAAGACTTACTTTTGATCATTAAGCAGATGATGTTTGTTTAAGATTGTGTGCTTGTTTAAAGTGTTCACATACATGAAATCCAAGGAAACCAAATGTGAAATCCATCATATATCTGGAGTATATCATCAGACATTATCCTGTATCAGGTCAAAGTTGTTTTCTACAGCCGGTTCCAATACAAGTTGTGTATACCATCAGTCAGTAAATCTGCTTCTCAAAAACACACCATCATACTGATGCCTTCCAACATCATAGCTGAATTGCCACTGAAACAACTGTATTCAATGATGTTACACCAGGTATATAGTTCATATGTGGTTCTCCAGTCAAGAACTTGTCAGTCATTGTTAGAAATATAATCCAGTTGCATTGCTGCCAATTCTAGTGATCTTTATAAAAATCCAAATGAGTTGTGTGGGTTAAGGTAGGTCCTCTTGGTTTTAAGATTCACTTACAAACTTTCTTTGTTTGTGTGCTGATATTCAACCTGATTATTGTTTTTGAAGTTCACACTGAGACCATGGGCAGTAGTAGACTGGCAATTCTTAATGGCCTTGTTTTATATATATATATATATATATATATGTCATTACATGTCTTAGTTGACCTTGTACAGACTGGTTGTCTAATAACAGATTTTCAGCCTTCTTACTAAGGATCTGTAAACATGAATATGAGCTCCCACTTGTCTTTCTATGTGGTTTACAACATTTAAATACCTTTTACAGTCTGTACTTGAATCAAAACCTCTGCCTGCCACCTTCATGTAACATTGTCATATAATTTTATGAAAACAACAACATAAATTGAAGCAATCACCAAAACGACAAATTATCAGATCTAGAGACAGAATTGGGTAATTGTATTTCCAGGGTGGGAAGAACATGTAAAACACACTGAAACAGTCATGCATTTTTACACCAGATCATATAAGTAGGTATCAAACAAATGGCATACAGCTTTTTAAAATTGCATTGAGGTATAATTTGCGAGATGCTATTAATTTTTGCTCATTTTATTTTTTGAACAACAAAGATTACAAAATTAAATAAAATGACTTTCTGTTATTTAACAAAAAAAAAGGTTTCTTTGACCAAAAATTGAATATTGGATTGACCAGTGGTCAGAATTTTGAAATTGTTTTCAGAGAAAATACTGTTTTATGTTCTAATCATTTATGAGGATTGCCTGAGTAGGTAAATTAGAAAGTTTCTTACTTATCCTAAATGAAATATTCCAATGTTAATTGATTGTGATTCAAGTGACACTTTACTTTTGAACCATGACATTCTAGTTAGCTTAGTGATGTGACCGAAGAATTATGTAAATCCTGAGAAGCAAGCATGTTGGTGATAAGTGAAGTAGTCCTTGGCTAAAAATTCTTTACACTAACTCACAGAAATCTAAGTGATGTGATTGTCAAATGTACAACCAGTTCAGTTTATCTGTATTATCCTAATTTGGTTTCCAGCAGATTTTTAATTTTTAGAATTTAAATTTGAGACATTTCTTCAATTTATCACTTTATATTGACTTTTCATATGGTTGTTATGTGCACAATTATATGCTTATTCATTGTTCAGAAGTTTGATTTACGTACTGATAAACTTGCAGAGAATTTCATTAACTGTGTTTCTTGATTGAGCTTGGCCCTGTGGTTGTTTAACTTTTTCAAAATAGCACACAAGTTATAGGCAATGATGGAGTAGTAATTCTTCACATGTCTTTATAATAGTTTCTGAAGGTATTTCTTTTAGCATAAGTCAGAGATAAAAGATTTGCTGACAAAAAAAAAACTTAGTCAGTTATTAGATCTTATATTTGTGGACTAGATGTTCTGATTATAATTCTCATGGTTAGAAGGCAATCAAGTACCATGCATTTTCATAAAGACACACAGAGGGATCAGATGTGCAAAGAGAACTTCAGATTATTTGGTTTGTGCAATAATGTTGTTAATGTTTCAGTCTTAGAGGTATGTAATAGTCCTAATAATAAATCTGCTTATGAAAACAACAGTTGCAGAAAGTCAGGTCCACTATTCCATTATGTGACAGATATCTCATTCGAAGGTATGCAGATGCATACTGATGTAGGCTTAAGATTAAGCATAGATTATGACTTTATACATCTATCTATAAACTAATTTGTAATTTTTTTAGTATAGATCAATTCATGTATTAGTAGGTATATTTCTTTATATCTATTAGTCAGTGTTTACAGATAATCATAGTGGGCCACAATGTAAGGAAAATAATGTGAGTTTCAAAGTTGAAAGTAATTAAAACAATGGGCATTATGGGCCTGTTTGTTGAGAGAGATATATATTTCCTGGAAGCCAAGTGACCTCTATTTGGGTAATTGTAAAACTTCCATTTAGAGTAGTTCAAGAAGTCATTGTAAATCTCTTTTTAAATCTCAGCTCATTATTTCATTTAATATATTTCTAATAGGATAATAAGTATAATTAATGACAGTGATGTATACATTTGAAATTTTTTGGGGTGCGTATAGGGGTTTCAAGGTCTAAGGTCTGCAAATAATATTCGGTGGAGACATTTTTTGGTTTACCCCTCCTCCTCCTAGTGGCTTAGCAAAAAGTCTGTAGGCTTATAATGCCAAAAATTGGGTTTTGATGCCAGTTACTGGTACAGTACAGAGTGCCCATTGTGTAGCTTTGTGCTTAACAACAACAAAAAAATATTGTAGAATAATACATGTTGATTGTATATTTAATACATTTTTAAAACTTAAAAATTCATTTTGAACATTTCTGTAATAGGATTCCTAAAGTTATTACAACATAACTTCTAGTAGTGCTTTGTTAGTTTCAGTTTGCATAAATCTTGCCATAGTTTATTTTGTTAAACCAAGTACAGTGAAAGCTTTATTATCTGGCATTTGTTTGAACTGGGGAGTGCTGGATAGGTGAAAATTCCAATTACAAAAGTGTTACCTGTACAATATTTCACAAAAAAAATGTAGTTAACTCATTAATATTCTAAAGTACAGTGTTTTTACATCTTCTATAACAGTTTTAAACAATAATAAGTGTTGTAACAAATCTTACAACATTTAAGTATGAATCATAGTACAGGCAGCTAACAGTTGAAGCTTGCCAGTGGGAAAGAATGTAAACAGCAGAATCACAAAGCTACAGTGGCATTTGAATTTGGAGATATGGAAAAATGCAGTTACAAGAGCTCTCCGGATATGAAAATGCCGGATAATGAAGTTTTTACTGTATAGATGTATTGAAAAACAATTTATGTAAACTAACACAGAACAAATGTAATAAATTGTATGCATGTAAATAAATGTTTTGTATTCATGCAAATAAATGTTTTGTCTTGGTTATTTAAATAAAAGTGGTTTAATCTCAATAAATTGTAGAGTTAGTTTTAAGTAGAATTTTTTATGTATTATAGAAGCCTTGTGATTTGTATCTCTTAAAGCTAGATGTTCAACATTTTATGGTGCACCAAAATTATTTGTGTTTCACCTGCACCCGGTAGTGTTTGCCATTAATTATGAAAAATAGTTTTGATGCTTTTAACCTTGTTAGGGCCAGTTTTCACCTTTCAGGTGTCAAGTGCATGCCTGCATATCAAATTTCATAATTTAAGTAAGAAATATAATTCTAATCCTACTTAAACGTAAAAATATTTGAGAATTGATATCGTAGCATTATATCAAATTCATTTAATGTATTTCACAAAAAAAAAGAATGAAAATTTACGAATTTTCATTTTTCTGCAGCTCCAAGGAGACTTATCTGTAAACAATACATTTAGTGACTTTTTTTAAGAATTTCTCTGCTCTTCCCATAGTGTAGGTTTATATTTGCTAAGAAACTGATATTTCTTGGAAATATAATGATTCATGTCATGTTTTTATGATGTCATAACAAGTGGTCAGAAAAAACTGGTCACCAACTTTTTTTTTCCATTCTATCTTACATTTTTTCTCTAGTTTTCCAGTTATGTCTTTCTAAGGTTTTTAATATTTTGTTCATATTCTTTGATTTACTTTCCCCATACCTCCACGTTTTAGCTCATTTTTGTGGTCGTATTTTTCACTTTCCTGTCCAGTGCTTCCAGCACCACTTTTTATACATATATTATGCTTAGAATGTTGTGAAGTGCTTTAACTTTCTGTGCATATGCTCAAACCTGTCACATCTTCTCTTGATACCAAATATGATGCAGCAGCTTACAGTATAATTCTTTTATAACTGACAATTTTATTTAAAAGCAAAACTTGATAGTTTATTGAAAAAAGTTAAATTATTCTACAATATTTTATAAATCCAGTGCAGTGATTTTACTTCCAAGTATCAAGAACATTCAGTTAGTTTCAAAACAGTCATAATTCCAAACAAATCCACTTTCACTTTGGCTGTGTAACTCTATTACACTTAATGGTGTCTTGTAATAAATAATACTAGCTTTGAACTCGCTCAGTATTGCAGGGAATTCTTTACTTTCTCAGGTTTTTTTATAGTCTAGTCTAAATCTATTATTTTTTAATTCTGCTACAGTGTGTAGTAATAAACTTTTTGCTGGATTACATAAGAGCTATAGAACAATTCTTTACAAAGAAACTGTGACAGTAATTTACATCATATATCATATATTCCATTTTAATTGGTCTATTTCATTAATTAATTGATATAACTGATTAGCTATGAGTAGTGATTACATTGTTGTAGAAGTGTCAGACAATTCCAGAAAAGGCTGCAGGCCCAATAGCCTTCTGCAGGAACTAGCAGTTATACCTGCCCGGATGGTGGGTATTTCTGCTAGTAATTCTAATTTACAATGGTATAACTGTATTCTTTAATGTTGTATAAGGAGGTATGGATCTAGGTGAAAAGTCCTAGGGAGCTGAATCCCCACCTTTTTTCAGAAACTAATAATTATTATCTAATAT